AGTTTGTGGTAAGACAGTAAAGAAAAGAAATTGTTAACAAGAATTACAGGTAGCTACTACGTCTGGGGAGGACAAAGGGAGACAAGAAGGGCTTCGAAAGTCTTGGTGACATTCTGTTTTCTTTAAGTGGGGTGATGGATGGGTGGACATTTTATTCCTTTTCTTTAAAATGTGCATCTATACACATATTTATACATATTCTTTTGTGTATGTGGTATGTTTTGTGGTTTTAAAAAATTAACAATCCAAACAATAGGGGGAAAAGTTCTGAGCTGCCATTTTCATGCAGAAACCAAGGATGTTTGTCACAACAGCCATTGGCATTGTGGCATTGCCCAGGCGCTTCTCATCCAGGAATAGTTTGTACCAGTGTGGTTGCTGGGAGGAGCAAGCTGACTGCTGATCCCTCCGGTTCTCATCCTTGGACACAGCAGTCTTTGTTCCCCAGATAGAGGGATCCAGACACCGAGCTTCCATCTGCAAGGACACAGCTCTGGGGTTCCTTCATGGGCGTGTGTCCTCTCAGAGAGGGCAGAATGATGAGCAGGTATCAAGGGTGAGGGTTGCCAGACGTGCAGAGTGCATGATGCCTAAATGTCTTCTGGGGAGACCTCTGGCTCCAGAGAGGCCCGCACACAAGGCAGAGACCTTCTGTAAGCAGGAGGCCCGGTGTCCGTCCCTCAGCTATTGGACACTCGAGGCCTGGGTGGCTTGTGGTTGGATCAGACCGCCCTTCAAATAAGCCCTCCATGGTGGCGGCCGTCAGCCCCCGATGCCCAGCAGGGCTGGCGGGAGGAATGAGGTACCGCTTGGCTCGGAAGCTCTGGTGGCTCTGGCCACTAGCGCTCCCGTCCTCCACCCTGTTCTGCCCAGAGCGGAAAAGATGGAAGGGAGCTGGCGTGTGGATTAGTGGCGTCTTTATTTTTGTTCATTTGTAGTCACTTCATGTGTTACTTTGTGAATGTACTTTTTTTCCTTAGGCAAAAATATGAGTGTCAGTTCCCACCTCCCACTTAATCAAAATAGAGTAATAGCCTTAACCAGGGTCGTGTAGAGACAGCATCCCCAAGGAAGCATAAAACTGACATTGATTTCTTTGCCTGGAAATAAAAAAACAAGTGTCTGTGAGTCATCTTTGGATTTGCATTACAAACAGGAATGCAAACGAGCGCCACCCTGTCTGCATAGCCTCCAGATTTCCAAAATATTTGATCTGGTGCATTTTAAGCAAAATGTGCAAAGTTTACTAAAATCCTAAAATTTTCCAGTGAGGTATTCGAAGTTTGAGTTTTTGCTTGTGTTGATGACTCATTTTCTCTTTTGTTTTCTGTTTTTGTTCTTGATTTACCGTAAACTACCTGCTGACTCACGCCATCCAACCAACATACAATGCGAAAACCATGTCTCCGTCTGTATGTTGTGCACCTGCTGCTCAAACATCCCAATTTGTAAATAATACGCAAATACCCATCCATGAAAACATCACATATAGGAAACGGTTGGTTTCATGACTTTAAACAGTTCTTAAAACTCCTTGCTTTGCTTGCCCTGCTCCTGTTCCTTCTCCTGTGAGCCCTCACCACCGCCTTCCTGAGGCGTGTGGTCAGAGTCTGGCAGTCCCCATCCCCTCTGGTCTCTTCTCCTCAGCATCTGGGGTCCAGTGGGGGCTTCTGAGGGCCCTCCCGGGGACTGTTTGATTCAGGAACTGGCCTTGGGTCTTCTGAGCCAAGTGGGTAAGTGCCCAGCCAGTTTTTCCTGTTGGGATTGGGTTCAGAATCGGAGGGATTTTGTAGGGCATGAGTTTCGACCTGATCCTGTGGAGTCCATGGTTTCTCTGGCACCATCTCCCTTCTGCTCTGTCCCCATCGAACCCACATACAATGGTGGTTCTCCCCAGTGGCCTCTGATGATGCCTCCTCTAGCATTCTTCCTGGAATTGCCCTTCCACGGGGAATCCTCTCTGGGCCTCGGGGCTGGAGGGGATTGGAGATTGTGTCTCTGGGATTCAGAAGGGGTTGTTTAAGGCCTGAACGGAGCGGGAAGAGGGTCTGTCCCCAGAGACAGCAGAGCACCTGGCTCCTGTGTCCAGCCTTCACTGGCCCGCTCGTGCACGCTTGCTCCGTGGGCTTGTGTGGGCTGCGGGTGGCGTGAACTGGGCCTTCCCCAGGCCTTCAGGAGTATCCGACAGGAGAGCAAAGACACCAGGAGCAGATGGAACTGAGGCTGTGACCGGAAATTCATATAAAGTAGCAAGTATTTGAGATCCTGTTACAGAAAATGAACATTAATGATCAAGTATTTCACAAGTGGAGAAGATCTTGAGGTTTTGAGAAAATGCCATTTGATGCAGAAATATTTGAGTCAGTCCCCTCCATGGCCGTTCCCTGTCCCCTTGGGAAGAGCCCCCTGCCCCCGTGCCCTCCCTCTTCAGAGTGCACACAGTCACATGACACGCTGAGCACCTTGGGGTCTGTTCCTCCTCATCGTCCTGCCAGGAAAAAGCCAAGTATGAGAGCAGTCTGTTGCTCGCTTGCTGGACCTTGCTGCCAGCATGGAGTGTGGCAGCCAACAGATGTGCACAGGACGCAGGGGATGCCTATCGGGGTCTGGGGCTCCCCTTTGGGGGGTGTGTGTCACGATGCCTGGCGTGCCTTTAAATCCCTCAAATCTCTTGATTCCTCAGCATCTGGGCACAACATCCTAATGTCCCCGTCTTGTGGGTGAGGAAGCCAGGGGCTCAGAGGAGCTGGGGACCAGGGTACCCTCAGGGTGAATCATCCGCCACGTTGCGGGTTGTGATAATGCCTCTTTGGGGTGCCCTAGACCTTCCCAATGCCGAGGCAAGTGGCAGGAAGGGCCTGGCTTTGAAATGTAGGTGATTGAAATGTAGGCTTTGAAATAAGGTACTTGGGGCTCTCTGGTGTGACAGAAACCATGGACTCTGGGAGGACGGGGCAGGCCCTTTCCACCACTGAGGGGCTGGCTGAGGCCAGAGGTGATGACGCGTGGCCGTGGGGAGGCTGCCGTGTGCTTGCTGACCGCCCCCCCGCCCCCGTTCTCCCTCATGCTGCTTGCATGCTGGTGCCTGGCAGGTCCCGCCCTGGTGCGGCCCCAGAGTGCTCTGCCTGCCACCCCGTGCTTGGGGTATCTGTGGCTGCTGTCACCATCCGTCCTCATGGCTCTCTCAGGCTGTGTGTCTGTGCCCCCCCCACCCCCCTCCCGAGTGCCCCCTGGAGCCCTGAGGAAAGACATCTGGGGGGAGGGGTGAGAGCTTGAGTCTCAGCAAAAAGTAGGCCAGGGCCTGTGAGCTTTGTGTTGGTGCACTGACTATGTGCACGATCAGTGCCCTCCCCTGCCTTGTCCTCCATCCCTTCTTTCTCACCCAGAGCCTCTGTATTCCCAAGAATCTCTAGGTGCCAGTGGCCTGAGCAAAGTCCTTTGGGCTGGGCAGACGCTGACTGTGTTGTAACAGTCTTGGGCCCTCCAGATGCAAGTGGGCAGGTGTGGTCCAAGTGGGACCTCAGAGGAGGCCCCGCACTTGGCGGCTCCCTCACCTTCCTCTGCTTTACTGCCTCATGCAGAGGATTTCCCAGCGCTGTAGACGAGGTCTCCCTTCCACCGCTGTGCCGGTCCTCCCGAGCTGACTGGCTCACCTGCAAACCTGGGGCCTGCAGGGCGAGTGTGGGTGTTTCCTGTGCCACTGAGATTCTCTTGCCCCAGCACAGCAAGCAGGTGAGGGAGCTGTAGGCAAGCCTGTTTGCCCTCCAGGATCCCACCCCGTGGTCCACTTCTGCCTTTTGCTGATCCAGCCCCTAGTCAGCACCTCCTTGTGACTACCTCGTGCCTCCCACCTCTAGCCCCCTAGCAGAGACAGACTAGAGTCCCCAGCAACCCCCACCCCAGTGGGAACAAAGGGGTGGACAAGGCTGGGTTGGGGCCACGGTCCTCAGAAGTGGGAGTGAGACCTGCCTGTCCACTGAACGCTTCGTCCCAGCCAGGACCAGCTGGGCAGCTCTGGAGGGGGGACAGGCAGCTCTCCCCAGGCTCCCCACAGCCCCTGCACGTGCTCTCCCACTGCCGCTCATTGAACATGTCGTGTTCTCTTCTGTCTCCATTGGACCACTGAATCTGGCGATACATTGTTTCTAAGCCTGAGCTGCTTGCCTATGTTAGACACCCAGGTGTCAGGGAGCTGCTGTCATGCGGGCACCTGGTCTCTAAGCAGACAGAGGCCGGGAAGCTGCCCAGGGCCACAAGCACACCTACGTCGTCCGCCCAGAGTCGTGCTCCCTGAAAGGGATGGGCTGATAATTCAAGGTGCCCCTGGGCCCAGATGGAAGGCTCACTCCCCCTCGGATGAGGGAGCCATGCTTGACATCCTGGGATCTCTGCCGCTGGGAGCATTCGTGGATTTCCTGAGTGGCTTCCGTGGTGTGGGCAGTGGGATCGCCCACACTTACACTTCCTACGGTGACTTGTCTGCAGGCACCATGAGCAGCTCTGGGGGAAATGTTTGCCCCTCTGCCAGGTCCCAGGCAGGCAGGGGCTTTGCTAACCATGCGGAGAAGGGAAGGGCCCCTCAGAGGCTCTCCGTGGAGAAGCAGCCCTGCCCGGCGCTTGCACGGCTTGGCTGTGTCTCGCAAGAGGCGGTCCACGTTGGAGGCCCATCCACAGGTGGCCCCCTGGCTCCTCTTGGCAGCAAGGGGCTACTTCTGGGAGTTCGTCTCTCTCCGTCCCTGTCGGGTGCAGGGGAGCCTAGAGCAGAGGGTTTCCGTTGATTTGCTGCATGAGAAGTGATTGGCAATGACAAGCTTCACTTTCGGAAGGTTTTTCTGGTGGCCGATTGATGCTTCTCTCCTTTAGAGCAGTGACTTTCTGTTTGGTCTCTCTTTGGATCCACTTTCCTTCGGGGCACAGCAGGTCTGGGAGAGGCGGGTGGGAGGTCTGCCGTGGTGGGAGCTGATCTCCGCCAGCTTGAGAACAGCCTGTCTTCCCCACAGAACAATTTCATCAACCTCAGCTTCCTGCGCCTGTTTCGGGCCGCCCGGCTCATCAAGCTGCTGCGCCAAGGCTACACCATCCGCATTCTGCTGTGGACCTTTGTGCAGTCCTTCAAGGTGAGACCCGGCCCAGCTCCCTGAGCCCCGGAGCGGCCCTCCTCCTGGAGGCCCCTTGGTGCCTGTTACCCTGTTGTGGTTTACAGACCTTCTAAGTTGCCCAGACAGTTCCTCGGTCGTGCTCACTGACCCTGTGGCGAGGCGCGCGACTGCTTAGGGATGAAGGAAGCGAGGCCGCCTCTTGGTAGAGGGGCTTTGTGGTCAGTGGGGTGGCTCTGTGGCCGCTGAGGTCTGAGCCAGGCAGACCACCATCCCCTCTGCAGACAAGGTCCACCATCCCCTCCGCAGACAAGATCCGAGCCAGGCAGCGGGGCAGCCCCCTGGAGCTCCCCTGTCCTCTGTGTGTCTCCACAGGCCCTGCCCTACGTGTGTCTTCTCATCGCCATGCTGTTCTTCATCTACGCCATCATCGGCATGCAGGTGGGCGCGCTGACGGGACCGGGGGCGGCAGGGTGCTGGTCACGGTCACCAGATGGTACCTGTGACAGAGCGACACTCAGGGAACTTTGCTTATGAGGCAGATACCGTTTTCAGGACTTTATGAACTTAACTCTCAGAAAGGCTGTTCTATCGATGAGGACACTGAGGTTGGGCACCCCGAGTCTGGGCCTGTCTCCCAGAGTCCTCTAGTGAGGCGTAGTGCCCCCGTCCGTGGCCCGTGGTACTGTGCTCTGCCGTGCTCCTGAGTAAAACCCCACGGGGCTGTTAGGGTGTCGGTGGGCTCATTGGACTGGGTGCTGGCCCCCCCTCGCCGGTGGAGATTTGAAGCACATGTACCCCAGCCGGTCCTCTCAGTCCAGAGAGCCGGCCTGACCCTTTACAGGAGATCGTATGTTCCAGAAGAAAAAGTCAGCAGGATCGAATCGGGTCACTATACTGTCAGATCCAGCTGGGAGAATTTAGATCCCCTTCATTTCCCCAAGAACCTTTGGTCAGCTGTTTGGAAAAACATTTATGAGACACAAAGCAGTGTTCCAGATTTGAATCTTGGGCATCGGGCCACTTTTCAGCAGTAGGGTAGGAGTTGGATCCCAATGCCAAATTACAGTGGAAGAAGCCACTGTCTCAAAGATTAGGTGCAAATTGATTTTTAAACTCTGTTTCAGGGATTGAAAAGCTTCTCTTGCTTTAAAATTTGCTGATACCGGATGCTCTTTAAAATGTATTTTTCGGGGCACCTGGGTGGCTTAGTGGGTTAAGCCGCCGCCTTCGGCTCAGGTCATGATCCCAGGGTCCTGGGATCGAGCCCCGCATCGGGCTCTCTGCTCAGCGGGGAACCTGCTTTCCCCTCTTTCTCTGCCTGCCTCTCTGCCTACTTGTCATCTCTGTCAAATAAATAAAATCTTTAAAATAAATAAATAAATAAAATGTATTTTTGGCTGCTTTTTTTTGTGGATGTATAAGACCGTAAGGGTCACTGATCTTTGTTTTTGGTGAAGCTTTGATAGTTCCTAAGTTTTTCAGCCAGATTACAGATTTTAAGCCACGTATAGTTACGGACTTGTTTGCATTCCTAACCCAAAAAAGAAATGAATTAAAATGGATAAAAAGCCCATTGTGGTATTTGCAAAGACACTTAAAAAGAAACTTTCAAGTTGATCTCCTAGCTATTATCACAATAATTCCCACCTCGTAGTCACTGATGACAGAGTGAACTTTCTAGTGCGTCCGTCTTCCATACAGAGCGGCCCATATACGCTGAGTTCCGGCCGCGTTTTCACTGGGTGTGCGGACTTGTGCCTGCAGACACGTGGAGCTGGCGGGGGGTGGGGGCAGTGACACATTTGGCTGGAAGCACAGGCCCCTTCAGCCCCTGCTGCAGTGGAGGTGGCTAAGGGCTGTGTCCTGGGCCTTGTGGGTCCTCACGGGCACACACCTTCCTCTGCCTGGCCACAGCTCCAGGGGTCCCAACAGCACCAGCCTGCAGCCTTCTTTCTCCTTTCAGGTTTTTGGAAATATTGCGCTGGATGATGACAGCAGCATCAACCGGCACAACAACTTCCGGACGTTTCTGCAGGCCCTGATGCTGCTGTTCAGGTGTGTTGGTCAGGGGTCAGCACAGGCTTGGGGGCTCCTCCGTTCAGGAGGGACGGGGTGTGTGCCAACCCAGCTCGGGCTGGGCTCCCCTAAGTGGGCCTTCCCAGTTTCTTCTCCCCTCTTCTTGGCATCCTTCCCTAAGGGTTCCTGGGCCTCAGGGCAGACGGAACGCAAGCCTCCAAGGGAGGTCAACCTGAGAGCCCCAGGTGTGAGGCTGGCCTTGACCACGTCGGCTCAGGTCGCCGGTGGTGGCCAGAAGGCCTTGGTGAGGCTGCGGCCAAGGGTCTGGGAGGACAGAAGGTGTCCAACAGGATCTTCTTCGGTGTGCTGGCTGTAAGCTTTCCATCTGCTCACCTTGTTGACTGCAGGGTCTGTGGGACCGGGGGAAGCAGGGCAATGGGGCTGCTGCTGACAGCGAGTGTGCTACTTAGTGACCCAAGGGACTCAGCTGACCAGACTTGCTGGTGTGAGTGTGCCTCCAGCTGCCCCTGGGGCTCACAGGACTGCGGTTCCCTAGGCTTTCTGCCCCAAGTCCAGCGTCAGAGTGGCTTGGTCCTGGCTCAGGTGCCTCCTGGTGAGGATGTGCTTGGGAGGCCTGGGGGCACCTGTTGTCCTGAGACGCGGCACACTCTCCGCAGACTGGGGGCTGTTGACCCTCCCTGTTTGGGGTCTGAAGGGAGAGGGGCGAATGTGTCTTCCCGCCTCCAGAGTCTCCTTCAGTAAGGCAAGCCCAGCACTGTGACCCTCGGAGGGAAGAAAGGAGCTCTTTGGATGGACTTGGGGAGCAGGGGGGCTGACATAAGATGCCACCCGGGGCTCCTTCTTGAGGTTCCCACATGTGTGTTTCTTTTCTTTCTTTCTTTCTTTTTTTTTTTTTTTTAAAGATTTTATTTATTTATTTGACCGAGAGAGAGATCACAAGCAGGCAGAGAGGCAGGCAGAGAGAGCGGAAGAAGCAGGCTCCCTACTGAGCAGAGAGCCCAATGTGGGGCTCGATCCCAGGACCCTGAGATCATGACCTGAGCCGAAGGCAGCGGCTTAACCCTCTGAACCACCCAGGTGCCCCCACATGTGTGTTTCTTTATGCAAATGCTTGTAAGGCCTAAGCTGGGGCAGCCCCACACAGTTAGTCCCAGGGAGGGCCTGTGGGGTTCTTTCCATGGAGGGAGAGCAGACGGGTCTGATTTGCTAGGCTGCCTGGAGAGAGTTGGCTGACTCTTGTTCTTTCAGTCAGAGGCCTACACTTTCTCCAAATGACATCGTCTCTCCAGACTTTAGCTGTTACGTTCATTTCATCTCTTCATCTGTTAATGTCCTGCTTCAGGCTGCAATAGTTGAGGCAGGCCTATGAAACCAGCCGCAGCTGGAAGTCTTTGTTCTCAAAGATCTCTTTTCCTCCCTGATCTCTGAGTCACATAGGAATGCCCATGTCAGTCAGGCCTGGCACAGGACAGCTGCCCTCTAGGAAAAGCCCCCTACTCCTAGCCACTGGTGATGGACAGTGGGCTCACTTGTGCCCAGAGCTGGCCACACGGGCACACCAGGTGGGGGGCACCCAGGCCTCTGGTTTACCTGCAAGTCTGCGGGACCTCCGGCCCGTGTTCTGACTGCATATTGGGGACAGATGTCCATGAGGAAGGTCCTCCATGGTGGCCGCTCAGGGTGGGGTTGTTCGTGGTGTGTTCCGGAAGCGCAGACGCTGCTGTGGCTGGAGTGGGCTGAGCAGAGAGAGAGAACGGGCTGCAGGCCGCACAGAGTTGCGGGCAGTTGTGTGCATTTTGGATTTGCAGTGAGTTCGGGGGTCGTTGAGAGAAGTGACCTGATCTCACCTGTGTTTGTTGGACCCACTTAGGTGTTGTGGGGTGTGGAGCAGGAAAAGCCACTCGGAAGCTGTTGCAGAGCTCGGGGAAGGTGATGGTTGCCTAACCCAGGGTGGTGAGAGGCAGTTAGAGTCCAGCTGTTCTTTGGAGGTAGATGAGCTGATGAACAGGGGTGGTGAGAATGAGTGGAGGCAGGGATGACTGCGACCTGTTTGGCCAGAGAAACCGGAGGGGTGGAGTCCCCACTTGTTGAATCAAGGAAGGCTGGGATGGCACCTGCTGTGGGAGGGGCCAGGAAAGGCTGTGTTGGCTTCGAGGGGCTCAGAGGTCCGTGGAGGGGCACTCACCATGGTGCTGGCTTCTGGTGCACTGCCTTATTTTCAGTAACTAGTTCTTTCTAGGTTAATGATCAGTTTGCAAACCTAATGCCAGAGGATTCTGAGCCCAGTGAGGGTGTGCACTGGAGCCCGCTCTTCTGGGAACCCTTCTGGTCTGGCCCTTCCTTTGTCGGCCTCACGGCTCTGCCCTTCTTCTTAGGAGTGCCACGGGGGAGGCCTGGCATGAGATCATGCTGTCCTGTCTCAGCAATCAGGCCTGTGATGAGCACGCCAATGCCAGTGAGTGTGGGAGCGACTTTGCCTACTTCTACTTCGTCTCCTTCATCTTCCTTTGCTCCTTCCTGGTAAGTCCTGGTCACTGTGCCCATGTGTCCACCTGTCTCAGTCCATCCCAGGTCCCCCTACGTCTCTCACAGATCCCTGGTACTGATTCATGTCTCATTGCAAGCTGATTTTGTGTTGATGGTCCTGTGTCTCCGGAGATGATGACCTATAAAAGGACCTACTCTGTGATGACCTCCTGTGGGCCTTTCCTTCTCAAAAAGGGTTTTAAGTTTCCACAGGACACCTGTCCTTTAGCCTTTAGCCTCTGTCACAGTGGTGAGTTACAGAGAAGCAGCACTCCAGCCAGCGTGCCTGGGGTGGACCAGCCTTGGGAACTGGGGCAGTGGGGAGCTCAGTGGACTGGGTCCTGGGGGCATGGATTTTGTTCCAGGTCAGTAGACACCTCTGGAAAACTTGGAGCAGGGGCATGACACAATCTGGGTGACGTTTCCAAACCTTGCTCTGGCTTCTGATCAGGAGAGGCTGAAGAGTGACCGGGGAGGTGGCTGGAGGTGACGGTGCCTAGAGAAGGGTGGGGACCAGCAGGACGGGAGATTAAACATGGGCATGAGAGCAAACGAGGAAGAAAGCAGCCCCTGCAGTCTGCTGGTGTTCTGGAGAGAAGCCCTCGTCCATGGCCAGCAGGGGTGTCAGGTGGTGCGGCGGCTGTGGAAGTCAGCATGGCAGCTCCTCGATAAGGGAACGACAGATTGGCCGTCTGATCCAGCAGCTGCACTCCGGGCACATGCCAGAGCTGAGGGCAGGGCCTCAAGCCGGTATTTGTACATGCACGTTCGCAGCAGCATCATTCACAATGGCCTGGAGGCAGAAGCAACCAAAGTGCCCACCAGTGAGTGATTGGTTGTGACATGGACACACAAGGGAGTACAATTCGGCCTTAGGAAGAGAGGCTCTTCTGACCCATGCTACGGTATGGATGGCCTGTGAAGTCATGACGCTAAGAGAAAGAAACCAGCGGCAAAAGGAGAAGTAACGGCATGGTTTCAGCTGTCTGAGGTCCTTAGAGCAGGGAAGCTCGTAGAGACGGAGAGCAGGACAGCAGGCACCGGGGACTGGGGGAGGGGATGGGGATTAGTGTTTCGTGGGGGCAGAGTTTCTGCTGGGGAAGATGGAAGAGTTCTGGGGACAGGTGGTGGGGATGGTGCCCCTCAGCTGTGCACTTCAGAGTGATTAAATTGGTAAGCTCATTGCTTTGTATGTTTTACCAAATTCAGAAAATGGTCTTAAAGAAGAATTAACATAAATTCTATTCAAACTCTTTTTATTTTTAGAGGGGGGTGGGCAGATGGAGAGAGAGAGAATCCCAAGCAGACTCCATGCTGATTGCGGAGCCTGACGTGGAGCTTGATCTCATGACCCTGAGATCATGACCTGAGCTGAAACCAAGACTGGGATGCTTAACTGGCTGAGCCCCCCAAGGGCCCCTTGCGCAAACTCTTGCAAAAAGTAGAAGAAGAGAAACATCTAACAAATCCTATGATGCTGCCATTATGCTAATACCAAAAGCAGGAATGATGCCACAAGAAAGATAACTACAGACCCATGTCCGTGCTAAGTACACAGTAAGGATCCTGAACAAAATACTAGCACACCGGCTCCCACAGCATGTTAAGGGGTTAGACACGGTGATCAGGTGGGATTTATCCCAGGAGTGCATCTTTCATTTATCCCAGGAGGGTTGCATCTTCAACATACAGAGACTAACCAATGTGATGAGGGAAAAAACTCACATGATTATCTCAATAGATGCAGAAAAACACTTGACAAAATTCAACATCCTTTCATGACAGAAGCACTTAGCAGACTCAGAATAGACGGGAACTTCTGTAACATGATGAAGGGCATTTATGAAAACCTGCAGTTGACATTAAACTCAGTGACGAAGGACTACAGACTTTTCCTTCAAGTATCAGGAACTAGACAAGGATCCCCACTTCCTTATCACTTCTACTCAGCATTGTGCTGGAAGTCTTAGAGGAGTTAGGCAAGGAAAAGAAATAAAAAGCACCCAAATTGGAGAGGAAAAGGTAAAGCTATCTCTATTTGCCGATAATATGATGTTATATGTAGAACATCTTGAAGAACGCACACGCACACGCACGCGCACACACACACACATGCACGCACAGTGCTAGAACTAATAAATGAGTTAATCAAAGTCTCAGAGTATAAAATCAACACATAAAAGTCAATTATGTGTCCATGTACCAGCGATAAACAACCTGAAAAGGAAATTAAGGAAATAATTCCATTTCCAGTAGCATCCAAAGGGATAAAATACCTAGGAACAAATACCCTTGAAGATGAAAAGCTTAAGTTAAAGAAGACCTAATTAAGTGGAAAGACATGCAGGCCCATGGATCTGAAGACTTAATGTTGGTGAGGTGGTGATGGCCCCACAGAGTGAGCTCCAGATTCAGTGTGGACCCTGTCAGAGCTCCAGGGCCCTTTCTACAGGAATGGGAAAGCTGATCCTCAAATTCATATGGAATGGCAAGGAGCCCCAAATAACAAAAAAATCTTGAAAATTAAAGACCAAGTGAAAGAACCCATGTTTCCCTATTATAAAACTTACTATAAAGGTACCGTGAGTCAGAACAATGTGGCTGAAGAGACACTTCTCCAAAGAAGTCATACAGATGACCGACACATACATGAGAAGGTGCTCAGTGTCACTGTCATCAGGGAAATGCACATCGAGACAACAGCGACCCATTGCCTCGTACGTTTAAAATGGACTATCATGAAGAAGACAAGAGATGGCAGGTGTTGGCAAAGATGTGGAGAAAAGTGAACCCCTGTATGCGGTCAGTAGTAATGTAAATTGGTACAGTCACTATGGAAAACAGTATAGATGTTCCTCAAAAAATAAAAAATGGAGCTAAAACATGATCCAGCAATCCCACTTTTGGGTATACATCCGAATGGAAGGAGAACAGGATATTGAAGACAGATCTGCATGCCCACGTTCACTGCAGCATTACTCACGATAGACAAGACGTGGAAACAGCCTACGCGTTCAGCAGCGGATGAGTAGTTGAGGAAGACCTGGTGTGTCCACACACACATTCACGGTATTCAGCTATGGCAACGAAGGAAATCCTGTCATTTGTGACAGCGTGGATGCATCTTGAGGGCATTGTGCTAGGTGAAAATGGCCAGACAGAAAAAGGCAAACACTACATACATCACTTACCTGTGGAATTTTTTTTGGAAGCCAAACCATAGAAACAGAGAGTCGAAGAACTGTTGCCAGGGACTGGAGAGTTGGGGAAGTAGGGATAAGTTGCTGAAAGGGTGCACACTTTCAGCTCTAACATGAATAATGTCTGCGAATGTGAGGTAAAACATGGTGACTATAGCTGATAACACTGCATTGTATAACTGAAATTTTCTAGAGGGCAGAATGTAAATATTCTATCAAAAATATGTGATGGACTTGTTAGCTAGATGGCAGGGATGCTTTGACAACGTGTGTGTGTGTAGAGACTGGAATATGTACCGTAAGTATCTTGTAATTATGTCAGTAGTCACGTTTATCTCAGTAAGGCTGATGCGGGGATAGTAGGTATTGGTGTAAAGATAGACCATTGGAGTGGGACAGAGATTCCAGAAATAAATCCAAATATCTGTGGACAGTTGATTTTTGACTTAATGTTGGTGAGGTGGTGGTGGCCCCACAGAGTGAGCTCCAGATTCAGTGTGGACCCTGTCAGATTTCCAGGGCCCTTTCTACAGGAATGGGAAAGCTGCTCGGTGTGGCAAGAAAAGTTTCCCTGACACATCGCAAAGAGACAACCAGATGTCCACATGTGGGGGGGAAAAAAAGATGGACCCCTACCTCACCCCATATACAAAAACGAACCTAGAACTGGTAAAAGACCTAAATGTAAGAGCTAACACTACAAAACTCTCAGAAGAAGCATGGGGGCAGCTCTTGATCTCAGATTTGTCGAAGGATTCTTAGATTTGACGCCAAAATCACAAGCAACAAAAGAGAAAAATAAATTAGACTACTCAAAATTAAACTCTTGTGTGTGTCAAAGGGGATTATAAGACATGTGAAAATGCATTCTAAGGAATGGGAGAAAATATTTACTAATCGCATATTTTTAAGGGGATAATATCCAAAACACATAAAGAACTCTCAGAACTGCAAAAGACAAGGGTAAAAAAAAATGGGCAAAGAATCAGAATAGACATTTTTGGCCAGAAGGTATACAAAGTGGCCAACAAGCACATGAAGATATTCATTATCTTTGGACTAAATTAAGGAAACTTAAAACCACACACTTGCTTCACACTCACTGGAATGGCTACAATAATAATAATTTTTTTAATGGAAAATAACCAGCATTGTCAGGCACGTGGAGAAATTGTGACTCTTGTGCATTTCGGTAGGAATGTAAAATGCATCAACTTCTGTGGAAAACAGTTCAGCCCTCAGGTGGCAACAACCCAAATGTCCTTCTGTGGGTGGACAGAGAAGCAAACTGCTGTGTACCCCACGGGATGTTATTCAGCCTTAACACGCTGTGCGGTTCTGCGCCCAACGACTGGGTGAGCCTCATGGGAAGCAGAGAAGCTGGGCCCGGGAGGCCCTCGATGGCCCTGTGCTGAGGGACTCCTCTTGCATGAAACACTGCAAGGAGACAAGCCTGTGGGTGCCGAACAGACACTGTAAGGAAGGGGGACAAGTGAGCGGCTCCTTATGGCACAAGGCGTTTTCTGGGGTGATAAAGAATTTTTGAAACTCGAGGGGTGGTTGACCGATATGAGTAAGTAAAGCCACTGGGTTGTAAAATACTGGATGTATGTTCTGTGAATTTCAACTCAAAGGGGAAAAGAAGCCAAGCTTTTGGCCACCAGAGTCTAAACCCCTAACTCCAAAGTCGCTGCTTCCCTTGACAGCCAGCTGGGAGGGGATGATGGTGATGGGAGGTGGGGCAGCTTGGTGTGTGGATGGGGCTGGGGGGGGAGGGGGGGCTTGGGAGAGTTGGCGGGATCTAGCCCCAGGGCAGGGGCCTGCCGCAGGGGTGGTGGTGGTAGAGTGGAGGGTGGAGGCTGCGGGGGAAGCAGGGCTGGCTCCGGATGAGCTGGAGTGGCCTCTGCTGCTGGGATGGTTTCACGCAGACTTTGGCAGGAGGGGAAGGGCTAGAGTAGAGGGCAGGCTGAGGTCTCCTTATGTCACCCCTTCTCCTTCCTGTCCTGCAGATGTTGAACCTCTTTGTGGCCGTGATCATGGACAATTTTGAGTACCTTACACGGGACTCTTCCATCCTAGGGCCTCACCACCTGGACGAGTTCATCCGGGTCTGGGCTGAGTACGACCCGGCTGCGTGGTGAGTGGCCCCTGTGCTCCGTGGTCCTCAGGGTGGTCCATGCCACGGAGCTCAGAACAAGGCTGGGGGGCTTCAGACCTGTGTCACGTGAGGTCTGTCCCTCAGTTCTCGGTGGGGCCCACGTAGGGTGGTGCTAGGTCCCCCTCTGGGTGGCACGCTCCTTCTCATGCCCACAGTGCTTTCACACAGCTCCCTGGACGGAGAAAAGCTCTAGTAGATCTTCAGCCCGGCCCTTAGCAGCTTCTGAGGGGTCTGTGAGGCTCAGGGCACTTGTGGAAGGGGAGCATATGGTTTCCTCGAAGGTCTGTCACGTGAGGGGCGTGGAGGGCTCAAGGAAGAGGGTGTGGACACAGCGGGAAGGCCTTCCCTTGGGGCCTCACCATCCTCATGAAGCTTGGAGGCCTTCATGGCACAAATGACATTCTTCTTGCCCACGGGCTCAGACCTCTCCCTCTCTGCCATCACCCTTGGGAACAGGAGCCAACACGCACCTGTGTCCCCAGCCCAGGCTGCGAATAGCAGACGCTCGGTGAACTTTTACTGACATCGAAGGAGCTACCAGGAAGGGTCTAGTATGTTGGAGACCCTCTGGTCCTGGGGGGTAAGGTTACTGTGTTGCATCAGGTGAGGGGTGGTTCGTTTCCAGACAGCAAGGGTGTTGTGAGGGGACTGGCTGGGGCTAAACCGTTGTTCCATGGTCTGTGTGAGAGTCCCGCACACGGGGACTGCTCTTACCCTCGGGGCCCGCGGAGCAGCACGGACTCACCATCTGCCCGTCTGTCTGTTCCTTCATCCGTCGCTCTCTCACTGGCTTATGCACTCATTCACGTTCTCAAGCAGGTTCTTGAGTAGTTATTCAGGGCGCACTCTCTCCAAGGCCACCAGGACGTGGAGGGGCCAAGAGCCCTGGCTGCTGGGGAAGGCATGGGCCTGCTCCCCGTCTCGGTCATGGTGAGCGCCCAGCAGACGCAAGTGTGAACGAGCAGGAGTGCATCCCTCCCACGCTTGGAGGCAAGGGGAAGCCTGGGAAGACGGGGTGTGGCCACTCCCACGTCCTCTCTCCATGGCTCCCCGGCCTGCCTGTGCCCCCTCACGCAGCTCTGGGTGTGGTCACCCCCTGTGTGGTAGAGGCCTGGGGGAGATGGTCAGTGTCGTCGTGGTGAGGACCCTACAGCCTACAGATGGCCCGAGCTTCTACCTGTGTTTCCCTCAACGGAAACTCAGCGAGGGGATCAGGTGCTCTGACCCCAGGGCCCGGAAGGCCTGGGGGCTTGGCAGGGCTCCCTCAGCCTCCTTTCCTGCAGCCTTCCTGGAGCCCCTACCGCATCCAAGGAAGGTCCAGAGGATGCTGCGGGAGACCCTTCCCAGGCCGGCGTGCCCTGAGACCACGGGCAGCGCCCGCAACCCTCGGGCATCGCTGTGCCCGTAGTGTTTCTGGGTGTTCTCCATTGTGAATCTTTTGCCATTTTCACACATTGCCGAGTGAGCGTAGCTGTTACTTAACATTTCATGGTGTAGGTGACTGTTTCCATGGCCTTGGGGAGTCTTGCCACTGTGCTGATGCGCCACCAGGCTGGGCCTGCCATGCCCAGTCTCATTCTGGGGGCAGGTGGGGGTTCTCTGGTCAGGTCAGAGGGCAGGGGAGACTCCAAGTGAGGCTCTTCCCAGGAGGGGCATCTGGACCATGGGGTTGACCATGCTGTTTGTGGGCACAGTGTTTCTGGAAGTTGTGTTCCAGGGAAACGGAGATACTGTGGGTTGTGACTTGGACATATGTCCACGTGGGCAGGACAAACGCAGGTCGGTGCAAGCCTGTGAGAGGGGAGGACTTCTCCCAAACCTTTATGAACTGCAGACCCAGGACTTCCCCTAGTCCAGCCGCAGGTGGAGCAGAATTAGGACAGACAGGAAATGGACCAGGGCTGTACTGTGGTTTTGTGATGGCTCAGACTTCCTGAAATCCAGAGTTCTGAAAACGGGGCCTTTGGAAGGCAGAGGCCAGTGGGAATGTGGTCAAGAAAGTCTGTGGAAGAGTAGACAGCAGATAGAAGCCTCGTGCCAGAGGTGGCCTCTGTGAAACAGCACACAAGCCCGTGGTCCGAAGTCACACGGACGTGACCCAACAGCTGACTCTCAGACTTGCTGCTCCCACACGTGCCTGGGGCTGAAAACAGAGCTTGCCTCCAGATGGCAGGGGGACAGGGGAAGGCCCAGCAGAGGCCACTAAGCAGACCGAGTCCTGGGCACAGGAGCAAGGAGAATGCTTTGAGCCCTTCCTAGCCTGCATGGTAGACCTTATGTCCCAGGTGGTCACTCTGCTGTCTCCTGGTTCTTGGAGAGACTTAAAAAACAGCAGAACTTTGTGAAATTTCCACGCTTTCATATGCGTGTGTGTGTGTGTGTATGTGTGTGTGTTTGTACCTGTGTGGCTCTGGGAGTGTGTGCACAGTGCATATGTGCAGGGGTGTTTTTGTGTGGGTACGTGTACAGGTCTGTACACAAGTGGCATGCATATGCGCACGCGTACAGCAGACATATACGTGTGCACGTGCGCACGTGGTTGTGTGTACATGTACGGGTACGCACACATGTGACTGCAGACATTTGAGTGCAGTGATGTTTATGTGCTCCTGTGTGTGCTCGTGTGCATGTGTGCATGAACGCCTGTGTGTGTGTGAGTGTACAAGGCATGCGTGCTCGTGTGTGTACACGCGTGTGGACGCAGGTATGCGTGGGCATGCATGCTGTGGGGAGATGAAAAAGGCATGGGGTTGTTGCTTTCTGGTGCCGCCCTTCCCCATCTTCGTGTTGCTTCACTTTGTGGTGGTGTGGACCCTCGAAAGGAGAATCACGTCCTATCTGTGCGCCGTCTGTCTGCTCGTCTTTGTGCTCATCCATCTGCCCGTCACCATTCCGGAGCATCCGCCGTGTGCTGGGGGCCGGGGGTGTGTAGGCGAAGCAGGCTCGGTGTTCTCAGGACGCTGGGTGCAGCAGCACTGGGGGGAGATCAGGGGAGCTGTAGTGGGAGCCCGGCTGTTTGGGGAGGGAGAGACCCCATCTGCCTGGTGAGTCAGAGGAGGTGGCATTTGAGCCAGACTGGAAGGGGCAGGGTGGATGAAGCTCCGGAGAAGCGGGTGGGGTAGGGCTGAAGGGAAGGGGATCTGATTGTGTCTGATGGAGAAGAGAACACATCGCAAAGGGGCTGGAAGGGTGGCTGGGACAGGCGGAGAAGGTCTCGAACTTCAGGACAGACCGTAGCTTTGACTTAATAGACAGCGAGGACAGTGTTTGAGTCGGGACGACGGTCTTGTTCCCCCACTTTCCATCTGGTGCCCTCTGAGGGGTTTGATGGTGGAAGAGAGAAGGGCCAAAGAACAGGCTGGGCATTGGGTTGGGTGATTACTGGGGCTGGGGGCTTCACCATGCTTCCAGACCCTTTGTTATGGAAGGGTCCAGTGAGGTTAGCAAGCAACTTGGGTGAGGCAGAATGGGGCTTCCTCTTTCTTCCCTTTTTTCCAGAAGTTTGGATCTGATTGGACAGGAAAGAGAAACATATGTTGGCTGGGGTGCCAACCCTGGGACAAGGGGGTTCTTAGCTGGACCAGTAAATTCCAGGAGATTCGGGAGGTGGGGACCGTCAGGAGAGCCAGGCATGGGGTCTCAGGCACTCGGGGAGCACGAGTAGGAGCTGCCGGAGAGGGTCGGGGAGCAGGGCCCAGGGAGAGATGGACCAGTGGTTCCAGTGTGTGCACGGTGGGGGCTGGGGGCCGGGTCGGCCGTGTTCTGTGTGGTGTGTCTCCCGCCTGCCTCGGGCTCAGACATTGTCTTGGGGCTGCCACGCTTCCTGGGGCTGTCAGAGCCCCAGGGTTCCCTGCAGGGAGCTGCCTGTCCAGCCGCGGGGCTCCTCTTCCTGCCGCAGGCTGGGTGGGTGGGCGGGACGGGCTCAGCTGCCTTGGTTGCCGTAACCTGTGACATTTCCTTTCCAGTTGCCGGATTCATTATAAGGATATGTACAGTTTGTTGCGTTGTATTACGCCACCCGTTGGCTTAGGGAAGAGCTGCCCTCGTAGGTTGGCCTACAAGGTTTGCGACTTCAGAGCCTCCATCCCACATACTCTCCCCTGCCCGAAATGCAGACACAGCACACACTCCCTGCCTGGTTTGGGAATGACGACACCTCACCTCTCTTTCCTCCTGCCCTGCCCTGCCCGCACTCCAACCTCCTGGACGCTTCGGTCCCCCATCTGATCTCCTGACCCCTCCAGCTGGCCGGGGAGAGGCAGCCTTCTGAGGCAGTGCACACGGAGCTTTCTGGCTGGGCCTTGAGGGCAGGGGTCGGCTGCTGGGTGGGAGCTGGGTGGGCCAGGCCCTGCCTGTGCCCAAGGAAGCAGCTGTCTCACCTGGCTTTGCCTCCAGGCTCTCAAGGGTGGGCTGATGGTCAGACAGGCTGGAGGCCAAGGGCCCCAGAGGAGGAGAGCATGGGCACAAGCAGACCAGGAGCAGCTGCCCCTCCCAGTCCGAAGAGCCCAACAACCCGGGGGTTTCTGGTCCCTGAGGGAGGCGAGGGCGGAGGCAGTGGAGGCCCAAGGATGGGCTCTCCTACTTCCCCTCTGGATCGATCCACTCAGCCAAGCCTGGGCACCCTGGGAGGAGGGCCAGGCCCTGGGGCAGTTGTTCCTGCCAGGAAAAAGCTGTCCCTTTTCTGTCCTGGGAGGCCTGCACCTGACCATGTCTCTGGGACCCCAAGCAGGTCCCATAGGCAGGTGTCCCTGGCGGTGGAGTTGAGGCTGCAGGCCTGGTGGCCTGTCTACCTCTGGAAGACACAGTCAGCAGCCCCAGACACCTCCCTGGATCTGGAGCCGGGTCCCGTCCGTTGGCCCCAGCCCTGCTCCTGGCGTGCTGTCAGGAGGGGGCAAGAGTGGCTCCAAGCCACGTCCGACCCCAGCTGCCCACCGCGCCCCCCCTCACCTGCCCCCGCAGTCTCCCATTTCCTGCCCAGCCCTGACTCCCAGCAGCAGCCCTGCCCTGGGCAGCCTCGGGCGTCTCTGGGCTTGGAGCAGGACTCACCCGTCCAGTTTGTCTCGAGAGCCTGTGGGCTCCTTGCAGAACAACATGGCTCCCGCTCTAGTTTTCTGGCCTGTTTTAGATTCTTCTCCACTTTTTAGCCTCCAGGCTAACTTGGAAGCAAATTGAGCATTAAGGAACGCTGACGTTTCTGCCGTGGTTCTCGGGCTGGCCTCCTGGGTCAGGCACCAGCTCTCCCGGCATGGTGAAACAGCTCTTTTCCAATTTGGCATTATCTGTGGTTTCTAAAAGTGTAAAATCTGAAGTTGATAACCCAAAGCCGCCCCGATGCAGCCCTTCCTCATCCCTCCATGTTCATTAGCTCAGATGTCACCTCTGCCCGCTGCCCTGCGTGGGGCTGGAGTGTGGAGGTGAGGCTGGGAGGGGCAAGGAGGGGATCGAGTCGAGCAAAAAAGTCCCTCATTTTGCGTATTTTGACTTTCGGCATGTAATCTGACGCTGGTTAACTGGATCTGTTTTCTTGTCTGCTTCCTCCCCCCCTCCCCTCCTGCTGCACCCCTTCCTGTGGACCCCACCCTGCCTCTGCCTCTCTGGGCCGGGTCTCCAGTGGGCGCATCAGTTACAATGACATGTTTGAGATGCTGAAACACATGTCCCCACCCCTGGGGCTGGGGAAGAAATGCCCTGCTCGAGTTGCATACAAGGTAGACCCCGACCCTGCACCCCGAGGCTGGCTGTGCTGGGGATGGCCTCCGGTCTCCTCTGGGGGCTTATCCGTCTGTCTGTCTGCCGCTCTGCTGTCTCACTGTTTCTTCCTTTTCTCTGCTCCAACCACGTCCTCTACCTTCCCAGACAGAGGGACACGGATACCACGATGGTGTCTCTGCAGCCGCCCCTTGTTCCCGCGGGTCTGCCCACCCTGAGAGGCTCAGGAAGACAGAGGCGGAGCCCTCCCCCTGCCTTTCTTCCCTTTCCTTCTCTTTCCTGGAAATGACGGGACAGACCACCTTCTTGACAGAAGCTGCTTTTGTTCTGGGCCCAGGATGGCACTCAGCTTCTCTGTCCCATAAGCGCCTGATGAAGGTGGAGGTATCCAGCCCTTCGGGTCTGACCCTGGGGTGATAGGGCTCTGCAGGGCCTCTGGCACTTAGGAGGAGCCCACGCCCAGCTCCACACGTGCAGAACTTCCCGGGGTCTGGGCTGCCGTCAGCCTGGGGAGGAAGCATCCCCACAGTGGGAAGGAGGCACTGTGGCATTAAGAAGGAAAAGGGTGCCAAGGAGAGGCGTCCTGCTGTCATTCCTGGGGCTTCAGAGGGCTGCTACAGGGTAAGAGAGCCTCAGGGGCTCAGGTGGTCCCAAGCCCCCTCCCTCCAATGCCCAGGAGGCTGAGCTGCAATGAGGGGTAAACTGAGGGACACCTCCTGGCATCCCTCTTAAGGAGGTGAGCAGGTCACATTGCCCAGCCCACAGCCTGCTCCCATCTGCCCATGTGTCCTCAGCCACCCCCCTTTGGTGTATAGGCACCTTCCATCCGTCAAGCAACCCCCCCCCCACCGGCCGCCCAGCACTGAGAGCCCTCTTGCAGCTCCTGCTGCTCCCAGAAAACAGAGCCAGCCTGAGTCCTCCGGCTCAGCCAGCATGTGTCTGGAGGCTCCCTGCCCCCGCCCTCTCTCTGAGCAAGCCTCCCAGCAGAGCTCTCACCTCTCTGGTTCTGTCCACGCTGTCTATGCTCCATACCTGGGCCTGTCTCTGTCCCCTGGCTCAGACAGCCTTTGGAAGCTAAGCAGTTGTCCTTCAAACCGTCGGCGGACGCCTCTGCTCTCTTCCTCAGCCCTCCCCTGCCTGGCCTGCACGTTGTGCCTGCCTGGAGGCCTGCATGTGTGGCCATAGCTTTGTTCCCAAGAAGGAGAGTTCTGTCCAAAATGGTACCTGGGGTTGGGCTGGGCATGCAGGGCCCCGATGGGCTAGCCTTTTGAGCCCCTCCCCAGCTGTGCTGGCCGGTTCCAAGGTGCTGGTCACGAAGAGACTAGGGGCGGCTGCAGGCTGGGTGGGAATGGAGGGGCGTAGAGAGCAGGAGACAGGCAGAGTGCTGTGACCAGGAGGGTCTCAGCCCAGGGCAGAGATGCCTCTCTGTTTGCCCTAGCCTTGTCCTGCTGCCGCTTCCTGAGATCCTGGCCCTTCTAGGGCCTGGTCAGGCAGAGGAGAACCTCTGGTGAAGGTGCCTTGGACAGAGCTCTCTTCTCTTGGTGATCACCTGCTCGCCCCTCCATGCTGGTGCCCAACTCCCTGACCCCTGGAGAGGAGTCCCTCTGCTTCTCCTTCTGTCATCGGTGCCGGTCTACAGGGACACCGTGCTCTGGAAAGCCCGTTTTCCTGGTGTGCGTCACACAGGTTATGTGTGTGGTCCTGGGACCACGAGTGGGTGTGCCAGGTGGGTCTTTGCCAGCATTCAGCGGGGCAGAGTCTGGGCTCATGTCTCCAACCACTCAACCTCTATTAGATTGAGGATTGGATTTAGGGCCGAGACACTAGGGGCAGGGCTGAAGGCCCTCCCAAAAGGGGCTGTTGTGTCATAGGGTACGGGCTTGGCAGAGGACAGGCAGAGCCCAGGGAGGGACCCTGCGTCCCCGTCTCTAGCTCTTGTCTTGTGGCAAAGGACAAGAGACTGCTGGGAGGAGACAGGTGGGTCACAGTTCCCCTAGGGCTCCAGCTGACTAGCTAGGTGACCTGCCATGCTGAGGCCATTCCAGACACACTAGGGACAGTTTTCTTCCTAGACATCACATAAGTTCTCAGAGCCTTTGGCTCCAGGTAGCTGTTGGCTATTCCTGGAGGTCTGTGGGATGGACACACGTCTGTCTCCCACGGTTCTGTCCTTGAAAAATGAGGAGAGGAGAGGGGCGGTTCACCTGATGGGGAAACAGGGAGCACAGCAGCAGGACGCCGCCCCCAGTCTGGTCCGGAGTACTTTTACTCCTGTGCAGTCATCTTGAGCCTCTCCCGACGAGCCTTCACGTTGGCTCTGTGCAGTCCCATCGGCTCTGGGTCCTTCTGACTGGACGGTGCTAGCTGCCTCTTCCAGGTCCCCTGGCTGGGTGGTGAGAGACGAAGCCTACCTGGGTGGAGGGAGGCCTCACTGGGAGCTGGAGCTCAGGGCTGTGCTCATGGCTAACCTGCCCTTTGTCCAGGGCTCCGGGCTGCCGGTGGAACGGATGACACTGGGCAGAGCAGTGAGGACGGGGGTCTTCCCGCCCATCTGTGGGCCATCCCAGGGCACCCCAGCTTCAGTTCTGCAGCCCAGACCCCTCCCTCTTGAGCCCAGGCCACATGCCCCTTACTCCAGCCTCGGGCAGGGGTCCTTCCACCTGAGCACGTGCCTGTTCTTTCAGAGGGACCCAGCCTTCTGACTTGGTGCGATGCGACAGTCTTTACCTGGATGTCCGTTTGTCTGCGGCTAGGTGAAGCCTCAGCTCCGGTGAGGGTGGGGGTCCAAGGGTGAGTGTGAATGCTGGCAAAACTCCCAGCCACCCAACTTTGCTTGGGCCTGGGCACCTGCAGAAGCTACCCCCAGGAGAAGCCCAGCCTCTAGGGGCCTCTAGCACCTTGTAGTCCCATGGTGGAGGGACCCTGGTAAGCCTGTCCCTGACCTGCTCCCCTTGTCCCTAGCGCCTGGTTCGCATGAACATGCCCATCTCCAACGAGGACATGACTGTCCACTTCACGTCCACGCTGATGGCCCTCATCCGGACCGCACTGGAGATCAAGCTGGCTCCAGGTGAGCAAGCAGCATCTGGGGAAGGCACCGAGCCGGAGCCTGGCAGTCTCACTCCAGAGCCGCCCCCAGGGGGGTGTGCAGGGAAGAGGGGTGAGGAGGCCTGTCTGGAGGGGACCGAGGACAGGTGCCCATGGCGCCTCTGTCGGGCACCAACCTTGTCATCTGACAACCGCCCTGGGGCATTGTGAATGATCCCATTTTCATGGGAGGGAGCTGAGGTGCGGTGAGGGTAATCGGCCTGTCCAGGTTACCCAGAGCTAGAGCATGTGGAGGCAGCACCCTTCCAGGGCGGAGAGTCTGTGTGCCTGCGGTCCACTCCCTGAAGTGAGCCCAGTCCCTGGCAGGTCCTCTCCTGAGCTGACAGGACCGCATTGCCTGTGGCAAATCTAGGAGAGAACAAACCTCCAGTGTGTCCTCCCCACCTGCAGCCTCCTGTGACGCCTGCTGTACTTTCAGAGGAGATTAGAGCCACCAGAGGGGATCGGCCCTGTCCCTGCCCCCACACCGCCCTCCAGGCTGCATTCGTGACCTTGAGCTCAGCCATTTTGTTTATAGCGGATGAGTCAAGGCCAGTCCCGTACCCCACCACCCCTTGCACTCTAGGTCCCATTCTCATCATCTACCCAAATATGTCACGCCAGAAATTCTGCACCGCGCTTCTTGTCCTGTCACTTGTTTCCTCCCTATTGGAGTCTTTGTATCAACATATAGACGCGCTGTGTTCTCTCCCATCTTTAAAAGGTTTTCTGCTCCCTCCATCAGCTTCCCTATGTTTATTCTTCCTTGCAGCCGGCTTCTTGAGAGACTGGTCTGCGGGGTCTCTCTGGTCTCTCCCGATCACCCCGCAGGCGGGTCTGCACGGCCGTGCTGCGGGAGCCGTGCTCGCTGAGCTGCTCAGTGACCTTATCTTCCCTGTCCGCAGCTCAGCCTTTCCTCGGCTGTCACCTCCTTTTTGAATCCCTTTGGTGTTTCTTGTTGTGTTTTCTCATGTCTCCCGCTCTCCGGATGTCACTGTGCCCCTCAGACGCTCTGCCCCCTTGGTCCTTCCACCTATTCTCATGGCTCTAAGTACTGGGAATTCCTACTTCGTGTTTGAAGTCCAGGCCTCTTCCTGAACCCCAGACCTGCATTCTCATGTGAGGAGCTACGTGAGAAAAGTTATTTACTGTCCCCACTTGGAAGCCCAGGAAGCATTCCAAAATTCACTTGCCCAGACTTGATCACCACGTGTTCCCCGTGGTCGTTCCCATCTCCATCAGTGGAAACTCTCTTCTTCCAGTCGGTCACTCAAGCCAAAGGCTTTGGAGTCATTCTTACCTCCTTTTTTTTTTTTTTTCCATCCTTGCCCCAGTTTTGACCTATATCTGATCCCTTGTCATATCTCCTGACTCTACCTTCAATATCTACAGAGTATGATCACTTCTCTGCCCTCTCCCACTGCCAGCTCCTGTCCAAGCCACTGCCTCTGGGTCTTGGCTAGATTGTTGCCGTAGCTTCCAGCTGGTCTGCCTCTGCTCTTGTCTACCTTCAACATAACAGCAAGGATGATCATGTTGGAAACCAAACCAATAAAATTAATAAACCTCTGGCTAGACTAATCAAGAAAAAAGGGAGGCAAAAATAACCAATATAAGGAATGAAAGAACACCACTATAGGTCCTGCTGCCATTAAATGGATAACAAGGAAATTTTATGAACAACTCTCTGTCAGTAACTTAAATGAAATGGGAAAATTCTTTGACACCAACTACCAAGCTCATTCAGGCATGGATAACCTGAGTGGGTTAAAAAAAAGGAAGAGATAATCTGAGTAGCACTATATTTAGTAAAGAAATTAAATTATAGTTAAAAGAATTCCAACAAGAAAATCCATGGCCCCGTTAGCTCCATAGGTGAAGTCGGCCAAACATTTAAGGAGGAAATAATACCTGTTCTATATAAACTCTTCCAGAAAATAGAAAAAAAGAGCATATTTTTCAACTTACCGTATGATGCTAACATTACTCTGACACCAAGAAGAGAAAAAGACATTATAAGAAAAGAAAATTATAGATCACTATCCCACATGACTGTAGGCACAAAAATATTCAACACAGTTTTCTCAGACTGAATCTGGATATATATATTTCTATTTACTTGATGACAAAAGTAGGGTTTATCCCAAGAATGCAAGTTGAGTTCAAGTTTAAAAATCAATCAATATAATTTACCATATCAAAGAAGTGGAACTATATGATCATCTCAGTAGATGCAGAAAAAGCATTTCACAAAAATTAAGTATCTTACTCATGATTTTAAAAATTCTGCATAGCGTACTAACGAAGGAAGCCCCTTCAATCTGACCAAGGATATCTGTGAAAAACCTTCAGCGAATGACACGCTTAACAAAGAAAGACTTTCCCCCTAAGATCAAAAACAAAGGAAGGATGTCTACTGTCATCATTCCTGTTCAACATCTTACTTTAGGACCTAGCCATTGTAATAAGTTAAGAAAAAGAAATAGGAAGCATACCACTTGGAAAGGAAGAAATAAAGCCGTCCATATTTACAACTGGCATGATTATCTACGGAGAAAATCTGAAAGGCTCTAAGAAAAGGTGAGTAAAATGGAGGCATCTATAAAACAAGGAATGCCAGCGATGGCTGGGAGCCACCAACATCTGGGAACAGGCAAGGAAGAATTCTTCACTAGAGCATATGGAGGAGGCACCGTCATGCTGACACCTTGATTTTGAGCTTCTGGCCTCCAGAACTGAGATAACAAATTTCTATTGTTTTAAGCCATTAAAAGAAGTTACTAAAACAACACACAAGTATAGCAAGGCTACAGGATACAAGGTCAATGTGCAAGAAGCAAATGTATTTCTACATATTAGCAATTAATTGAAATGGGGAAAAGTTCCATTAAAATCGCACCAAAACCATGAAATACATCTGTGTTGCTGGATAACTCTACAATGTATATATGTGAGATTTTTATGCTGCCAATTTCAAAGCACTGGCTGAAAGAATCAAAGAAGACCTAACTGAATCAAGCACTGCATCGTCTTCCTGCACCGGAAGACTCCGTGTCGCCATGATGTCAGCTCTTCCCACACCGATCAATAGAATAAATGTTAACACAACCAAAATCCCAAGATGTTTTTAGGTAGAAATGTACAAGTGAATTCTAAAATGTTTGTAGAAAAGCAAAAGAACTTGAGAAACAATTCTGAAAAAAGAACAAAGCTGGAAAACTTACTCCACATGAATCGGAGACTACCTATAAAGCAAGTCAGTTGCAGAGACATGGGTCAGTGGAACACAAAGGAGACTCACACTTACACAGCCAATGGGCTTTTGATGAAGTTGTAAAGGCAATTAATGGAGAAAGGATAATTTTTTCAACAAATGGTACTGGAATAATTTAGACAGCTATATCCCCCCAAAAGGGAAACATCTTGACCTTTACTATCTTCGTCTGCTTGGGCTGCCAATAACAAAATACCATAAGTGAGTGGCTTAAACACAGAAATTTATTCCTCACAGTCTAGAGGCTGGAAGTCCGAATCAAGGAGCCGGGAAGGTAGGGTTCATCCCCAGGCCTTTTCTCCGGGTTTGTAGGGTGGTCACCTTCTCACCATGTGCTCACATGGTCTTTCCTTGAGTGGGTACAGAGAGTGAACGAATTTTCTGGTGTCTCTTCCCATAAGGACACTAACTCTGTAGGTCAGGCGCCCCCCTTCTGACCTCATTTCACCTAATTACCTCCTTCTCAGCCTTATACAGTCCCAGTGAGAGTTCCGGTTTCAACAGGTGACTGGGGGTAGCGCACAATGCGGCCCATAGCACATACCTTTCACCTCCTACCAAAATTAACTTGAAAATGATCATAGACATAATGTAAAATGTGAAATTATAAAACCTCTAGAAGGAAACACAGGAGAGAAATTTTGGCAATTTTGAGTTTGGGAAAGATTTTTTAAGACAAAAAGCATGAGCCATCAAAAAAAAAAAAACCGATAAATTGAACTTCATCAACGTAAAAAACTTTTGCTTTACATTTAAGAAAATGAAAAGACAAGCTAAAGCAATGGTTAAAATATTTTTGAAACATATATCTGATATAGGATCAGTTCCCAGAATAGGTAAAGGTCTCCCACAACTCAGTAATAAGAAAATAGACAACCTGATAAAAATGGACAAAGGGTTTCAACAGACATGTCACCGAGATATATATATGGAAGGCAAGTAAACAGCTACAGAGACGCTCAGTATCTTTAGTCATTAGAGAAATCCAAAATGAAGCCACAATAAGGTAACATTACATGGTTATTAATATGTTTAAAATCTTTTTAAAGGGGCAGTATTAAGTCCTGGTGAGAATGCATAATATGGAATTCTTGTCACCCTTGTTTGGCAGTTCCTTATGGTTTGGCTCAGCCATCCCACTCCTAAGTGGGAAGAAAAGAAAACATACATCTTTACAAAACCATAGATGCAGAGGTTCACAGCTTTATTTCATAATCACCTCCAAATGTAAGCAACTCAAGTGTTTACAACTGGTGAATGGATAAGCAAATTGTGGTCTGCCCATACAGTAAGATAGTCCTCAGCTATCAAAAGAAACACACTACCGACACGTTTGCCAACACAGATGAGTCTCAAATGCACTGGGCTGAGTGGGGAAGTCCCCCAAAACCAAGACACCCTGTGATGTTATTTGTGTGGCATTCTGGAGAAGGCCACATAAACCGGACAAAAAACACACGGGGAGGGGGAGGGAGGGGAGGGGAGGAGAAGGCCAAGGGTCAGTTACGGAGGGAGCGTGGAGGGGCTTTGGCTTTGGTCCCACGTCTCGATTGTGGGGGTGGATACGTGGCTTCATGGGTTTATCGCAGTTCACAGAACGGGATAACTGAAAAGGGTGAGTGTCACTGTATGCACACCACACTAACCCTGATGCTAAAAAAAGATAAATCCGTATTTTATCCCTCTGCTGCTTCCCATCTCAGCATCTGCTTCTTGCAACGCCCAACCCCCATGCCCTGCTCAGTGAGCCTTGCTGTCCTGGCTCATTGTGTGACACACCCTGGTCCCTTTCTGCCTTCACGGTCGTGCACACACAACTTTCCTGACCACCCTGTCCAACACGGCAGGCCTCCTGGTATTTCTCATCCCTCCTACTGGGCTGCTTCTGTACCCAACACCCTAGATTTTTAACTTACTGCCACTTTATTAAGCCACGTCATGCCACAAAGGCAGCTGCTTTTGTCCCCTCACCTAGAACAGTACCTGGCATGGGTGGGTGTTCACTGGATAGTTTTGAAGGGCTGGACTGCCACCGTGACCTTCTCCACTCCCAGGGCCCATGCACGCAGGCCTCTGTCTCCAGACAGGAGCCCATTGGGGCGCTCTGATGGCCACCGTGGCCATGCTTCTTCCTGCTCCGCCCTCTCTCCTAGCACTGTCCTTGCCCCATTTCCCTCTACACCACACCTCTCCCTGCCTACTCCCCAAGGGGGATATGGGACGGCTGCTGACATCTCTCTTCCCCTCCACACCCTGTCCCGCCCCAGCCGGCACCAAGCAGCACCAGTGTGATGCCGAGTTGAGGAAGGAGATCTCCTCTGTGTGGGCCAATCTGCCCCAGAAGACACTGGATTTACTGGTGCCACCCCATAAACGTAAGTGAGGGAAAGAAACTCCCCTTGTTTGGGGCGCCTGGGTGGCTCAGTGGGTTAAAGCCTCTGCCTTCAGCTCAGGTCATGATCTCAGGGTCCTGGGATGGAACCCCACATCGGGCTCTCTGCTCAGCGGGGAGCCTGCTTCTTCCTCCCCCTCTCTCTGCCTGCCTCTGCCTACTTGTGATCTCTCTCTGTCAAATAAATAAATAAAATCTTAAAAAAAAAAACAAAAAACAACTCCCCTTGTTCACCCCCTTCTGTGTCCTACCCAGAGGCAGTGCCAGGACCCCTGGGCCAGGGTGACCTCATTGATAGTCTAGACTTAGATTCCACCTGCGGGGAAATGGTCTTACGAGTGGGAGGGGATTACCTGGGCTTTATTCTGTTGGCCACAGTCCCCCCACATTCCTGGTGGGGGGTGTACTTAAAAAGATCCAGAGAACAGCAGGGAGACTCCTGTTAGAGAAGAAGGGCTTAAAGATTAAACTCCACATCCACTTCACTGGGAGGAGATGCGGGGCCCTGTGGAGAGTCAATACAGCTCCTGGGAGCCTGTGCCCAGTGTCCAAAGACACCATGTGGGGACCGCGCAACTTTGGCCAAGCCCTGTGCCCTTTGCTGAGCGCGTACGGGGTTCCTCATGGTGGGGGCTCTTCCCTTTCCCACCCCACCCCACCTTCCTCCGCCACACGCCATCCTCTGTTTTCTCCCCTCCAGCCGATGAGATGACTGTGGGAAAAGTGTACGCAGCTCTGATGATATTCGACTTCTACAAGCAGAACAAGACCACCAGAGACCAGATTCACCAGGCAACAGGAGGCCTGTCCCAGGTACTGGGTTTCAGGGTTCCCAAGAAGTAACCCTCAGGCTCTGACACCCGTTAGCTGTTTCGACAGCAGAGGGAACGCACATCCTCCTGGGGATTGAACGGCAGGAAAAGGAGGAGGAGGGCTCCCAACTGTGGCTTCACCTCTCTGCCCCCAAAGTCAGAGACTCCGTGCAGCCTTTCTGCTTTCCAGTGGCTGGTCTCTTGCTGGTCCTGGGGTCCCCTGACTTGGAGAGCCAGTGTTCGGGAGCAGTAGATAAGGGGCTGGGAACATGTTCCCTGGACATACCACTTTTTTAAGTAGTAGAAGAAAGAAGTTTGAAGAACACTCGAGGAGGTTATTTGGGGATGTGCGAGGAGAACTTGCTTATCCTGCACACGGCAGGGAGCAGAGAGATTCAAACTGTTGGGTCCAAGGCCATGATTTCTTCCACCATGACTCTGACTGGGCTGGTTTGGGGCCCCGTCTTCCTGACGTCACCCTTCAAAGAGAACAACTTACCCACATAGCCAAAGCACCAGTGACCATATGGAGACTCTCTTGTCTAGAAATTTGCCTGGTGGTCAGGGCCGGCAGGGACAGTCACCCCTCTTGGAATGGGAACTATCTGATGCCCACCCATACCACAGCCCCCCGTTCCCCTGTCTGTTGCAGACACCCACCCGTGCCCTGCCCCCCCACCAAGGCCTGAAATCTCAGAATTCTGCTCAATCTGGGGCTCATGCGGCCTCTGTCCGTCAATCCAAGTTGATGAGATGAAATATTTTTGCCATTTCTAAGTAGGTGCAGTCCCCAGATTTTGTAGGTGAGGAAGCTGAAGCTCCAAGAAGTGAAATGACTTTGCTGATGTCACTCACAGGCCAGGCTGGGGGGAAGACTTTGCCTGCCTCCTGTGAAGGGCTGGGGCAGGGCAGAAGGAGCACCAGCCCACGCTGCGGGGACACGGCAGCTTCCTGGTGCACCTGTCTCTGCCCTTAGAGCTCTTCCTCTTCTCTGTGTCCCTTCTGCAGATGGGCCCTGTGTCCCTCTTCCACCCTCTGAAGGCTACGCTGGAGCAGACACAGCCCGCGGTGCTCCGAGGAGCCCGGGTTTTCCTTCGGCAGAAGAGCACTGCCTCCCTCAGCAACGGCGGGGCCGTGTGCGTACCTGGCCAGGGGGCGCAGTGCTGGGAGGAGGGAGGATTCCTGGTGTCGGCACCTCCCAGAGGGGCTCTCTGCAGGCATGGCCTCAGGACACGGAGCCTTCAGGTCCCATCGCCACTTTGGGAGACGGGCTCCACTGTCCACCCCGTGCCCACCTCCACCCAGATGGTTCCCCGTGGCTGGTGCCTGGAAGCTGGTCCAGGCCGGCTGCTGGAGCAGTCTGTGGTGGTCCCCAGAGCTGATTCCCAACGTGACATGGGTGCCTTTGATGGTACTAAGGTCAGCGGCTTCAGACTGTCCCCTCCCAGTGTGTGTGCCCATTTGCCTTCCTGGGCAGGGGCCTCTGCCTCTGCTCCCTCCCTGCCCGTTGAGAAATTACTTGTTTCCATCTCAATCCCCACCGCATTCTGTTGACGGCTTGTGTGTGTCCAGTCTTCCGAACCCCTCTAAGATGCTTTCCCCTCAGATGTCCACTCTGGCCGCGCTTTCTGAAGCAGCTGTATCTGGTGCACAGCCTGGTGACATCCCTCTCGCCTGTCCTCTAACTCTTGCCGCAATAATTCTTGGGCATGAACCACCCCAAACCAAGTGCTGTGAAAGAGCAGTGACCTGTCCTGTGCTGTGTGTCGCCGAGGGGTGCTGCAGCGGGCTCCTCTAGCCACCCCCTGGGGCCAGCAGGGTCCCGTGGCTGCTCACACCCCATCGGCTCACACGGACCACTGGCTGAGTGCCAAGGGAGGGGCTTCTGCTCTGCCTCATGCAGCAGGGGCTGAGGTGCGGTCCGGAGAGCAGACTGGGCGTGGCTGGCTTAGGGCTCCCGACGCCCTCTCGTTGGCACAGTTTGGGTGCTCTTCTTTGAAGCCTGATTGTGGGTCTTGCCCTGTTAATGAGGTAGGTTTTGCTGAGTCCTAAACTGCCTGTAACTCAGCAGCCAGGGCTTGCTGGGCACAAGCATAGACAGGATGTCCGTACTGGGCGTTGTGCACGTCGTACACGTGTGGTCTCATCCTTGCTGAGGACCGTTCCTGCTCCAGCTACACGCAGGAGGCTGTATTTAGGGCTGAGATTGCTGCTGGCTGGGCCCAGCCCTCCCTTGGACTCCTCTCTGGGGCCCTCTCTGGCCGTCTGCTCCGAGCCTGGTGCTGGGTCCACACCCCTTGCCCTGTGGCCATTTGAGGGGCCTGCACGGGAGGGCCTCGCGCCGCTGGGCTGCTCCTGAGCTCGGGCAGAAGGGCTAGTGTAGCTTCCTGGCAGGCTGGGGCCAGGTCCTCGGTGGACATTCCGGGGCCCACAGACCTCTGAGCCAACAGGACAATCATCTCTGCCCTACAGACAAACCCAAGAGAGCGGCATCAAGGAGTCTGTTTCCTGGGGCACTCAGCGGACCCAGGAGGTGCCCAGTGAGGCAAGGACAACCCTGGAGCGTGGCCACTCCACAGAGATCCCAGTGGTGCAGCCAGGAAAACCGGTGCGGGTTCCTGGGGCTGGGGAAATCAGGCTGAGGATGAAGGACAACATAGGGGTGGGGGTGAGGCAGGGATGGTGGGAGATGGCAGGGAGCCCCGGGGGAGGGGGAGAAGGTGAGAGTGGAGTGGGGGCTGCCGTGACTGTGGGCCGCTCTGTGCCCAGGCCGTCGATGTCCAGATGCAGAGCGTGGCCCTGAGAGGTCCTGACGGGGAACCCCAGCCTGGTCTGGAGAGCCAGGGACGAGCAGCCTCCATGCCCCGCCTGGCTGCAGAGACTCAGGTGGGTGGTCTGGGAGGGTCAGGGTCATGGAAGGGTGGGGGAGTGGGGGATGAGGAAACCTGGCTTGGGGAGGGCTTGTGTCCCACGTGAAGGCTCCCCACCTTATGGCAGCCTGGACGCTGTCGGCCCTGTTGGGGACTCGTAGGACTCCATGATGGACTCAAGAGGAACAGCCAGAGTTCTCTGAGGCCTGCCAAGAGTCTCCAGCACCAACCTGTGGTCAGCCTTTTTTTTGGGTTTCTGTGGCCCAGTGTGCCTGACCCAGCCTTTCCTTCTCTCTAGGACATACCTGTCCCACCCTAGTGCACCCCCCTTCCCCCCAGTGCATAAGGTGCCTCACACCTTGGTCCTCCCTTTGCCCGGTGGAAGCTCTGGGGATGATCTGCCCTGTTCCTTCTCTGGGCGTGCAGGAGCTCCCAGCTCCATCCCCTGCTGGGGATGCAGGGACGTTCTAGGGCAAGGGGCTGCGTGCCCTTTCACAAGGACTCAGAGAGGGGCCTGCAGACCTGAGGCTGGGTCGGGGGGCCCTGCTTTCACTTGCTGGGAAGGTGATGGGCTTTAGAAGAGCGTGGCCTGGGGCCTGGGACCTTCAGTGCTGGCCTGGGGTTGGCCCTGTCCCTACCTCCTTTTGTGGTTCCTGGCTTTGCACGTTCAAAATGACTTCATCCTCTAAACTTGTCTCTGTGTCCCACTGCTGGTGGCTCCTGCCTTCTTCCCCTTCCTGACCCTGGCCAGCAGGGCGGCCAGCTGGAGGACACTGAGTGGAAGCCGTGGGTCTGCTCCACATGGAGGGCCCATTTCCATGGGTCCTGATTTCAGCTCAAGGCAGCAGCCCCGTGGCCCTGGCCCAGCAGAGTCATCACACACAGCACCCCCTCAGTGTTCTCCTAGCCCGGCCCCAGCCTCCCTCTTCCTGGCATCCTCCCTGTCCTCCCGGGACACTGAGGCCAACAGCTCTCTGTGCCCTGCTGGCAGAGATGGACAGCAACTTTGCAGTGTGTTCTGGGAGGAAGGGTGGGCCTGGGTGGGGAAGAGCTCTCCAGGGAGAGGGAGAGGCCTGGTGGTTCTGGAACCCAGACTCCTCTCTCAGACTGTGAGCCCTCTCACACCTACCCCCTCACCGCCCCCCCCACCTCCCACCCCCGCAGCCGGCCCCCAGCGCCAGCCCCATGAAGCGGTCCATCTCCACACTGGCGCCCCAGCGCCCTCATGTGGCTCATCTCTGCAACGCTGCCCTGGACCGCGCCCCGGCCAGCCAGCCTGTGCCCCACCACCACCACCGCTGCCATCGCCGCAGGGACAGGAAGCAGAAGTCCCTGGAGAAGGGGCCCAGCCTGTCTGCAGACACAGATGGTGGTGCGTGTAGGGGTCCCTCAGATGTCCAGGGCCTGGGGCAGGGGTCTGAGACCCTCTTCTGTACCTCGACCACATAAGCAGTCCTGAGTAGGGGGTGGTGAGTCGCAGGTCTGGGGGGACCAGGCAGGACCACCCGCCCACCTCAGCTCTTACCCTGGGTCCTCCTGCTAGTCATGGGGACCAAGTCTGGGCTAGGGGTCTGTCTCCCCACCTGGATCTCTGTGCTGACTTCCCCTTTTTCCCGCCAGCACCCAGCAGTGCTGCAGGGCCAGGCCCACCCCCGGGAGAGGGACCCACAGGCTGCCGGAGGGAGCGCAGACAGGAGCGGGGCCGGTCCCAGGAGCGGAGGCAGCCTTCTTCCTCTTCCTCGGAGAAGCAGCGCTTCTACTCCTGTGACCGCTTTGGGGGCCGTGAGCCCTCGCATCCCAAACCCTCTCTCAGCAGCCACCCCACATCACCAACAGCTGGGCAGGAGCCAGGGCCCCCGAGACCGGTAAGACAGGACCTCCTCGCTGCCCCTCCAAACGAGACTCCCCTTTCCCACCATGTTCTGAATCCTCCTTCATGTCCTGGTTCCCTGGCCCGGGTCTGTACTCCCCCGTTCCTTGCCCCACTGCTCCCCCACCAGCCCAGGCCTCCCATCCCAACTACCCTGGACTGGCCTCTGGTCTCGCCTCTCCCTGAGCTGGGCCTGTCCCTTTGTCACCCACTGTTTCCAGCTACATTTCCCCCACCACACACCCTACCAGTCTCCCTCCTAGGGTGCCTGCCTCTCTCCACGCCTTACTGCCCCTCCCCACAGTGGTTCTCACCTGCATTGGCCTCTGGTCTGGTACTTTCATTTTTTTCTTTTTTTTGCTCTGTTCTGCTTTCTTGTAGGGTGGTAGTTCAATGAACGGGAGCCCCTTGTTGTCGACATCCGGTGCTAGCACCCCTGGCCGTGGCGGGCGGAGGCAGCTCCCCCAGACTCCGCTGACCCCCCGTCCCAGTGTCACCTACAAGACGGCCAACTCTTCGCCTGTCCACTTCGCTGGGGCACAGACCAGCCTTCCCACCTTCTCCCCAGGCCGGCTTAGTCGTGGCCTTTCTGAACACAACGCTCTGCTCCAGAGAGACCCCCTCAGCCAGCCCCTGGGCGCTGGCTCTAGGATCGGCTCTGACCCTTACCTGGGGCAGCGTCTGGACAGTGAGGACACAGCCCGCACCCAGCCTGAGGACACGCTTACCTTCGAGGAGGCTGTGGCCACCAACTCAGGCCGCTCCTCCCGGACTTCCTACGTGTCCTCTCTGACCTCCCAGTCCCACCCACTCCGCCGCGTGCCCAATGGCTACCACTGCACTCTGGGACTCAGCTCGGGCGGCCGGGCCCGGCACAGCTACCACCACCCCGACCAAGACCACTGGTGCTAGCTGTACCGCCCACGCCACGCACCTGCGCAGCGGCCGCGTTCCGTCGATGAGTTTTATCATCCACGCTGGGCTCCTGGGGACACTCAGGGGCACCGAGGCAGGGGCAGCAGCCCCTGGGAGGAGGGGCCCTGCCTTTGGGGCCAGCTGGGGGGAGGCCCCGCTGCTCCCCCCATCCCCCCACCCCACCTCCTCTTTCACACTGGACCAAGTCCTAAAGCCCTTTCAGAGAGGGATGTGGCTCTCTCTGTCCGCTGGTAGGCTGCCTGCCTGGGTCTCGTACCACAGATCCTACACGGGAAGTGGCCGCATGTGCTGAGTAGGATGCTGCCAGTCTGAATCCTGTGTGATGGGTCCCAGCATCTGGGGTGTGTGTCTGGAGCCATTCTGAGGAGGTCTGGATCTCGCGGAGGCCATCCTTTATCCAAGTCTGTGGTACAGGGGAGCCTGGCACGTTTGAATGCCTGGCCAGACAAGACAGAGTTGACGGTCCCCAGCAGCAGCCTTGGGAGCCTGGGCCGTGGCTCCATGCGTTCTTGTCAGTGCCCACAAACACAGACACGTCTGGCGTGGCTCTTTGTACCTGAAACCACAAATGGACACCAGAAATACACTCACACACTCTGTCCTCTCCCAGATGCTGTCAACCCTGACAGGGACCAAATCTGGAAAGCATTCTGGCTGTTGGTTTTGGTTTTTAATCACAACACCCTTCCCTCTTTTGTCAATTCCATATACTTGATTTAGAAAAAAGAGAAAAACAGAAAACTGGGGAAGGAAATAGTAATACTACTTAAAAAAATCCAACCTGTAGGAAGCTCTCAGCTCTTTGGTGTGTGTGTGTGTGTGTGTGTGTGTGTGTCTTGTGTGAGGAGACGCTCTTGCGTCCAGCCTGGGTGGTCCCCCAGCTCCCCTGGCCCCTGCTGCTCTCGACCAAGTGCCTGACTTCCGAGCCCTCTCGTGCCAGGCTCCTGGGGGCAGTGACGTGAAGCCTGTGTGAAGCGTGGGTGAATTCTTGGAACTGTTCCCAGTTCCAGATACCGACCAGGTGCAAGGCTGGTGTCCGTGGAGAACACTCGTATAACATCCAGTGGGACGGCTGTAGTTGGAAACGAAGCGACCATTTCCCCGTTTTCCTCCCACGAGTGAAAGGGCTTCCTGGGAAGCCACACAGCAGCATAGAGCATGTCCTCGTGTGGGGTGTTTTCAGTCTGTTGCACATCTGAATCTCAGGGACGGGATGCCTGCCAAAGGGGGCATGATGTCTGTTGTCGTGAGTTTCTTTTCAGAGAAGGCCAGAGAGAGGGAGAGGTACCGGGAAGAAGGAGAGGTAGGGACAGGAAGGAGGGTCTGTGTCTGAGCAGATGCGGCACTTGGGACGCCCTGAATGAATGAGACCAAAACTGAGAGGAAGTGACGCGGCAAGAAGCTTCGAGACTGTGGCTCGTGTGGGAGGCACACGAAGCCCGGCACTGTTTGTAGCACAAGACATGGGAAAGCAGAAAGCGAAAGAGAAATCCAACCTCATGGCCACTCTCAAAAGGGAAACACTGGAGTTAGGAGGCTGTGGGTAAAATGCCGGGAGACCCTTTGTTTCGTGGACCAAAGGAGTACTTAGATGGTTAGATTTTGGTGCGCCCTCCATGTTTGGAAATGTCAGATGATCGCTTTGCTGGATCATTTGAGTGTTCCCATTGGCTGTCACCCCATGACTCACCGTAAAGAAACTTGGCCTGTGATGTGTGTGTGCGTTTCTCTGTGTGGAGGTGTGTCCCAGTGAGTGGGTGTCGCTAACCCATAGGGCTATGCAACAAAAGACACATGTTCAGTAGAACTAGATCACATCAGACCACCACCTGTTCTAGGGTTTCAGCACGATTGTGACCAAACCATTTTATAGAATTTCCTTACCGGAAGGCACAACACTCTGAAACTTTAGGATTACAGAGTATTTTACTGCAATAGGAAATGATAACTGGAATGGTATCTCAGCCTGCATGAAATCGCTGTGCTCCTGTTGCAAAGCCGAAGGATGTGTATTTTGATACTGATGTTTCATCTCTGGCCCATGTTATTTTGAATGTATCCATTCTGTGCAGAACCACAGCTGCTTCCAAGACCGTGGTGGGTGGAGAATCACTGTTGTAGCCCTGCACAGCCTCACCAGTTTGTCTGGATTCTTCTAGACACTGGAATTGGTGAAAACTACAGGGAGTGGGGGAGGAGATACTGTGTCTTGTTTTCCTGACTTTGGATTTTGTTTCTGTATTGTCTCTTCTCAGCTATCATATGTTTCCACTGAGATCTCATAGTGAGTTGCCAAATTTGAAATGCATTAACCAGTTGTCTGCATCTGGACCAGTCAAGCAGTGGCTGTAGTTTGAATAAGTTATGTGTGCATGTAAAATATATACATATATACATATATACAAGTATGTGCATGAAATGTATATCTTCGTACTTTTTGATACAATGTACTCATTTGTTAATTTTTAATTATATTTGATATAAATCAAAGGTTTGTTGCAAAACTTTATATTTAAGAACAGTGTTAAAAAAAAACCCCAAAAGAAGTCCCAACCATGCAACACAACTGGGACCTGCTTTAAAACAATCCTGTGATTGATGAGTTTGCTGCCTGAGTAATATTGATCACCCAGACTTTGGATTCTGCTATTGTTTCTACAATGACATTTTGTATGAATCAAAGTCCTTGGATTAAAATAAAACTTAGCAAAAAATCAAATCAAACCCCACCATGCTGCTGGGTGATGTATGCAGGGGGCGCGGGAGTCAGCAATCTGTGTCCTCAGGAGGCTGGGCTGCCTCCATGGGCACGCGGGCGGAAGTGCACAGCTGAGGTGCTCTCTGGAGAAAATAACCCTCTAAAACTTTTTTGGGTCTGTTCATGATGCAAGTGTGGGGTTAGGGTGACAGTCATGGGCTGGGGTCAGGATCAGTGTCTGGATCAGGGCCATGGTCTGGGTTAGGTTTAAGCGTAGTCAGCTTTCTTCCCCCTCCTCCATCTCCCTACGCCTCCAGGATGGACAGGACTCACCCAGGGTCACACGGGAGTCAGAGGTGAGTCGGAACATTGGTTTTTGGCCTCTCACTCCTGGGCTTTAACAGAAAAGTGAAATAGCTCGTCACTGACTGTTTCAGATCCAGCTCAAGCGCAGTCAAGAGCTGTAAGGGCCTCAGAGGTCATACACAGTCTTCCTCCCTCCCACCTGTGAAGGGTGCCACTGGCCACACTCTGCCTGGGCAGCCACAAGTTCCAGCACCACCCTGACCCACGAGGGCACTGAGGAAACACATATGGATTGATACAGGACTGACTACAGCGGCCTACCTGCCCCCATGTGCAGTCTCCTTGCAGGCTGGTGGGGCTCTCTTGGCCCTGGCTAGATCCTCTGTCCCATCCAAGTGGATCAACAGTGACCAGTGGACAGGACAGCCCTTGGCCTCTCACCATCTCAGGAAGCATCTGTGGTCCTCCAGTTCAGGCCAGGCATGGTCTTGACAACCCCTATGGCCAGTTACTGAGCTGACTGTGTTCCTGGAATGTAATAAGTCCATGGGCAGTGTAGACAGCCCTACAGGATGTTTCCATTCCCAACATCTGTGTGGTTGAGACAAGCATGTCCTCCCTCAGTCTCTTAACCTTCCAAGTGTTGGATGCGGCCCTGGCCACAACAGCTGTCCAGCAGACTGGCTCTTCTGTCCTTTGGCCTCCCGATACATATGTAAACCTTGGACATGCATATTTGTTAGAATCAAGGTTATGGGAGTAACTGTGTCTCCCAGCGAGCAGTTTTCTCACTGAGACTGTGTGGTTTCAGAGAGCCACATGCATGATTCAGGGACTGTGGCCTCCAGAAGGTGTGCCACGTGTGGATTCTAGGTGTGGAATGATCCTTGAGCCTCCCATGACTTCACTGAGCAATAATTTCCTGACCATCCTCATATTTGGTGTCTGCGCTTTGTAAAGGAGAGAGAAGAGACTGGAAATGAGCCAGTGTGTTCTCTGGGCTTGGGTGATTAATGTGTGTGGGGGACAGGGGTGACTCCCAGGCTTCCCTCCTCCCAAGGACACAAGTGAGGCCTGTGTGCCATCCAGTTTCTGAGATAGGAGGACCCAATGTCCAGGGCAGGAGCCTTGAGTTTCCCACCAACAGCAAAGTTGTTTTCTCAGCAGTTAGAAGTGGGAGGACAGGAAGAGCACTGGATGGGCAGTTGCAGCCCCTGACCCTAAAGTAGACCCTTTCATTCCCTGGGTTTCAGATTCCACAGCCCTGTAGTCACCCACCAGTGATGCAGGATCTGCTGCTTTCCCCGCCCAGCATCTGCTCTCACGTCTAAGGCCAGCATCTCAGTTTCCCTTTGGGAATCACATCTCACCTGCCTCCCATCCAAACAGTTCCAGAGGGCAGACCCCACATTTCACCCCCCTCAAAGATGGACACATGATCCAAGTCTACCCAACCCCATGCTCTGTCCTCTGGGTGCTCTGATGGCTTCAAGGATGAGAGTGTGACCCAAGCCAGGCAAAGACACTTCAAGTCATGACTTTATGGAACCCAAGGGAAAGAGAAACACTTCCTAGTATAATGGATGGTGAGTGGATGTCAGCCTGGAGGTGTGGGAGGCCCCAGATGCAGTGAGAGAGACTGTGCCTGTGAATGGGGTCTCCCCAGAGCACTTAGCAGGTGGAGGGTTGGAGAGGGTCCAGCTCACACTGTGAGAGTATGAGCCCTTGGGCCTGCCAGATCTAAACCCACTCTTGTTTCTTGCAAGTATTAATGTATTTCTACCATTTAAAATATTTATTTTACCTCAGTAAATATGTCCAGTCCCTTGCCATCCAGAGTGCTAGGTGACACATCAGGGTTGACAATCCCTGAGACTTCCCATGCGTGGTGTCCTCACAGGGTGGGCCATAGCTGGGGGAGACAAGAAGGTGGGGTCAGATCTCAGGGGAGCTCTGGAACAGTTCTATTCCTGTTCCTTCTCTGTCCCTGGAGAGGAAAACCCCAGAACAGTGAGGAGAGAACCAGCAGGAGCAAGAGGCCCCTGGATGGTTAAGTGATCTGCTTGTTTTTTTCCTTATTTTAGGGTCCATTTTGTTAATGTGCATTCTTATTAGGAAATTACCCATTTCCTCTAGGCTTTCTGTCCGATGCAATAGGTTTCTCTTATTTGACCTGTAATTTCTACTCCTTTAAAAAAAAAAGATTTTATTTATGTTTTTGAGAGAGAGAGAGAGAGAACAAGCAGGGGAAGCAGGAGGGAGAGGGAGAAGCAGGCTTAACAGGGAGAAGCAGATGCTTAACTGACTGAGCCACACAGCCGCTCCTAATTTCTCCTCTTTTTCTAGTTTTCTACAAAATTTTCACAATTAATGAACAAATATTGATATGTTATTTTTAGCTAAAGTCTGTATTTTATTTAAATTCCCTCCATTCTACCTTTCTTGCTCCAGGATCCCATGCTGGGCACCACGTGACATGTACCCATTGTCTCTTTAGGCTCTTCTTGGCTGTGACAGTTTCTCAGATTTACTTGTTTTCCTCATGAGTAGATTGAGGTTATGGGTTTTGAGGAAGCAGATCAGGGAGGTAAAGGGCTTTGTCATCACTTTATTACAAGGGAACACTTATCACTGTCCGTGTTAATGGTCACCTGGCTGAGGCATTGCTGGTCAGGTTTCCCCATTGTGAAGTGACCCTTTGCCATGAGCAGGAAGACACTGCTCTGAGCCCACACTTTAGGAGAGGGGAATTAACTCCATTTCCTTGATGAATGGCCAAGTGTCCACATCCATTATTTGGAATTATTTGTAATTTGTTAATAAAAATGCAACCAGGTAATTTAAAAGATCCCACTCCCATTGGCTTCATTGAACAATTCATGAAATAGGCAGCATCTCATTTAGCAAAAAAGAAAGGGGCCCCTTTGAGCTGCAGGGAAGGAAAGATATTTAAAGGCACAGAGGGGATCGAAAAAAAGAAATTACTAGAAAAGGATGCACTAGATGCATTCTAGGATGCATTAGACAATGTCCCCTTCCTAAGGGGAACAGAAGGGGCCATTCCGTTCATTTTCCAGGTTGGCTGGTTGAAGTTTATGCAGAGGTGAGGGTGTGTGGACGGCACTTAGTCAGATAGTAAGTCTTGGTTTGCCGGCTTGGGTCTCTTGATATAAGTGACTCCATTTTGGGCCTGTGGTTTCTTTTTTAAAACATTTATTCTGGGGCACATGGGTGGCTCAGTTGAGTGGCTGCTTCGGCTCAGGTCATGATCTCAGGGTCCTGGGATCAAGCCCCAGGTCAGGCTCCCTGCTCAGCGGGGAGTCTGCTTCTCCCTCTCCCTCTGCCTCTTCCCTCTGCTC